GACAATGACACTTTTCCTTTTCTCATCATCTGCCCAGAAATTTCGGGAGGGACTCAGGACCAGAGGATGCCCAAATCTTCCCATGGCAACTGGAATCATAATAAAGGACTATTTGTACGAGGCAAGACTATAGTGACCAGTCTATTGGAAAACTCTTGGTTGTTGTTCAGTCCTTAGAAATCCCAGACTTTCAGAGGGGAAAGCCCAGGATGTGAGTTTGGGGGCTAGGTAGGGTAGTGCTGTTCTTCCCTAGCCACAGCCAATGAGATGAATTTTGAATGCTGAGGCTCTCAGAATTACTTGAGTGTAACAATGCAATGATAGAAGTAAAGCCTGGCACATACTATGCACTAAATAAAGAGTGATCATCATTATTGCCCTTACTCGAAAACTGAAGCCATAGAGGCTCAAAAGGGTTAAATAAAGAATGATCTGAAGGTCCCTCAGAATTGTAGCTGAGATCTAATGCCAAAGCTCAGGGCATTTCTAGGCTACCACTTTCAATCTTGTCAATACCACGGTCTGGGTGAGATTCCGTGGACCCCTGTCAGGGTCCCCTGTGTCCTATTAGTTAACTCTTTGTCATGCTCCTTTTCCAGGAGTGGTTGATAATAGAATCTGGAGGGTATGATAGGCCATTGGCCTGTCTTCAGTGGTATCCATGCCAAGTCCTGGGCTCTGGAGCAGAAACCTCAAGGAGTCCTCAGCTGTCTTTACTTCTACAACATATTGAAGCTAATAAACCAAGAAATTAGTTTGTCTTCGAGGTTATCTGCTCCAGTACCTTCTTTGGCCTATCAGCATCTCTTTGCATTTAACATTCATTGCTTTAGAAGGGAAAAATATCAGAATGGAAGTCTGAGGTACTCAGCATTCTGACCTCCCTTTTTTCTGCGCGGTCTCAATGTTTTCATCAATGGCTGACATATATCTGTCAGAGCAGGGCCTGAAAACTGCAAAGGGAGAGGGGTCATGAATCCCCCAGTAAAAAGGCATGTGATGGGGGACCAGGTAAAAGCATAAGATCTCCACCTTTTCTCTCACTGGATTAGTCAGGAGAGGCTAGGTTTTGCTACAACAACAAAGTGATACCCAAATCCCAGTAGCTGAATACCACAGAGGTTTATTTGTTGTTATGTCACACAGAATAGATATGGCCTCAAAGGACCTTATAGCGGGGACAAGGGAAGTATAGAGTTGGTAACCTGGACCTTAAATACCTCTCATGGAAATGACGCATGTCACTTCTACTTCTGTGGCCTTGATGAAACGTGGATTCTTCCATACACCTGAAAAGGAGAGATGATGGATCAGTCACTGGTAAACACTAGTAACCCCTTGCACAATGTTTATGAGTCCTTTTCCTATTTCTCTTTCCCTTTGCATCCTGTGAGACCCATGATCCATCACGTATCTGCTGCTACTCTACCCACTAGGAAAACCTCTCCCCATCCCAGCACTTGTCCGGCTTCACCTCTGTTCCTATCCATCATAGCTGAGCACTCCCGCTAAGCGGAGCTGTAGCCTTAGATGGTAGGGTGGGGAAGCTGCTCTGGGCCTGCCAACTGAACTAAGGCTTTGACTGTTTTCCATTTAATCTGTTTTTTTTTTTTAACTTTTATTTATTGATTTGAGAGAGGGAGAGAGAGGGAAGGAGAGAGAAAGAGAGAGAAACATCATTTTGTTGTTCCACTTATTTATGCATTCATTGATTCCTGCATGTGCCCTGACTGGGGATCAAACTTGCAACCTCGGTGTATCAGGATGATGTTCTAAACAACTGACCTACCTGGCCAGGGCTCATTTAATCTTTTAAAAAACTTCATGAGATACTTGTTATCACTGTTCTGTAGGTAGAGAAATTGAAATTTAAATATACATAATTTTCCAAGGGACAAAGTAAGTGAAAAATACTAAACCAGAATTTCACTTCTTCATTTAGTTTTCAATAAACATTTATTGAGCGCAACTTCATATTGATTTGTCGTCCCTTATCCCCTAGAGGTTTAAGAACTTTGTCACTGGATTTGGACAGTCTTTGATTCTAGGCTGGGAAGATACTTAACTGCTCTGTGTCTCAGTTTCTCCAAATATAAAGCAATGACAATTACCACATATATTATGGGGCTAATGCATATAAAATGCTTAGTCTAATGGCTGGCTTATGATAAGCACTCAACAAGCAGTAGATAATGGGAAATCACCAAACAGATATATTGTATCAGTACATTCTGATAAGGGCTATGATGAAAGTAGATAAATTCAGGATGCCACGTGAGCACAGAGAAGGGAAACATAAATCTATTTAAGGTGTGCCTTCTCGGGTAAGGTGTGCAAAACTCGAGACAAGTTTTGAAAGAAAAGTAGCAATTATATAGAACGTAGTTGGAGGGCAAAGAGGACTTCCAAGCCGAGGAAACAGTAGGTGCAAATCACTGGAGGCAAGAGAGCAGGCCGCTGAACTTGAATGGGACAAGGCAAAGGAACAATGGCTGGAATGGCAGTGTAACCAGCGGAGGCTAGATCTGATGAGCGGCGAGGCTGAAGTGGCGAGTCAGACCAGGGCACCAAGGACTCTGTGTAGCCCCTTAGCATCCATATGAACATAATGGTCCTGAGACAGTGGAAGGCCTTGGAGGTGCTGAAGCAGACTGCCTTTGTCAACGAGGCCGCCCTCTTTACAGCTCAGAAAATGGATCAGAAACGGGGTTCTAAGGCCACGATAAGGCTGGAGCATGGGAGAGCAGAGGGGACGCTGCTGAAACGGGCCAGGTGGGAACACAATGAGCCATCTCCTCTCAAGGCTTCTGGTTCTTCTTCTGACAGGCAAGCCTAATGGTTCTTGTCTGCCTACCTCAAAAGGTTGGGAGGAAAATCAATAAAAATAGCGACTTAGAACAGGGGTTGCAAACTTTTCTGTAAAGGGCCAGACAGTGAATATTTTTCAGCTTTGCAGACCATATGGTCTCTGTCAAAACACTTCAATTTGGTCATTAAAGCACAAAAGCCGCCATAGATAATACATAGAAAGTAAGTATGGCTGTGTGCCAATAACATTCATTAGGGACATTGAATTTTGAATTTTATGTAAATTTTATCCGTCAAAAAATGTTTCTCTTCTTTTAATTTTTTCCCAACCATTTAAAAAAGTAGAAACCAGCTCATGGCCACACAGAAAAAAGCGGGTGGGAGGTCAGACCTGGCTCAGGAGCTGACAGGTGCTGACCCTCCAAGAATGAGCTTTCAAAGTGGCGACATTCCCCGCCTCTGACGAGGAGTATTGTGATTATGGTTGACCAAATTTTATTGCTGGATATGTTTTATAGATTTCATGGCTGTTAGTCAAGCTTGCCCTGTGTATGAATTTCTGCAATTATGTATTTCCTGTTTATCAGTTGGTCTGGAATGCCCTACCTCTCCCTCTGTTTTGCATAAGAATGTTCCATAATTTTGTTGATGAATCGCTAGAGAAACAAGCAGCCCTTGGACAGCACAGGACACCCATGTGTCTTTTGTATCATTTTCTTTGGAGAGGCAAGTGCTGGGTTTGAAGGGGCAGGAATATTGGTCAGACAAAACAGGGTTTGAGTCTGGCCCCTGCCCATTATTACTTCTGTGACATTGAGCGAGTTATATCAGTTCTCTAACTCATCATTTCTTCATTTGTTCATTCATTTATTCAAGAAATATTCAATTAGTACCTGCTAGGTACCAGGTACAGTGCAAGGCCACAGAAGTTCATGAGTTTATGAGGAACCATGGTTGCCTTCAAGGAGATTATGGAAATGAGGGGAAGGCAGCCACTTATAAAAGGTGAGACAACTAGCGTGTTGCTCTGGCTGGTGTGGCTCAGTGGATGGAGTGCTGGCCTGCAAACCAAAGGGTCGCTGGTTCAAATCCCAGTCAGGGGCACATGCCTGGGTTGCAGGCCAAGTCCCCAGTAGGGGCCACAAGAGGCAACCACACATTGATGTTTCTCTCCCTCTCTCCCTGCTTTCCCCTCTCTCTAAAAATAAATAAAATTAAAACAAAAGACTAAGGTGTTACGGGAAGATAGAGGACAGCATCTGTCCCACAGGTAGCCAGACACTAAAGATTCCCCAGAGAGAAAGAGCTGTAAACTGACACCTGAAGAATGAGCAGTTGTTGGCCAGGTGCAGAGGCAGGAAGCAGGTGTGTCCCACACAAAGTGACAAGCCTACCTAAGGCCTACAGACAAGAAGGGAGGGGGCTGGAGATGATGGAAAGGAGTTTGTGCTTAGGGCAGAACACAGAGTGTGGCAGTGGAGGCGGACAGAGGGGGAGGGGCGGGCAGAGGCCTCATTGAGGGCCTGTGAGCTGGGTGACGGGCTCTAAAGTTGACCTTGACAACAATAGGGCCATTGATGCATTTCATCTGAAGGGCGGAAGCGGATGGGAGGGAGGCAAGACTAGAGGCAGGAAGACCAGCTGGAGGCTGCTTCAGTAATGCAAGTGAAACATGAGGGTGGCTTGAACTAGGCTGGAAATGAAATTGGAAAGAAGGAAGCTTCAGGAGTTTTCCTGGGGTAGAAGTGATAAGGCATGCTGAGAAAAAAAGAGGGGGAAAGAATGACCCCCAGGTTTCTAGACTGAGCAGCTGCATGGATGGAGGCACCACTGACTGAGAAAGGGAGAATTGAGAGAGGAGACATTTGGGTGGAAAGGTGATGGGCTGATTTATAATAATACTGATTTCTCTGGGTCGTCCTAAGTCCTACAAACGTTGTATGTGAGGTACCTGGCAGAGTACCTGGCATGTTGTGGGTGCTTGATAAATGGTGACTCTTATTCGTGTTCCATTTTAAAAATTTATTTTAGGCCTTGTTTGGTTAGAGCATGATATTCTTTTGCTGTGTAGTGTGAGCTCTTCAGAGCCACAAGAACTGCAGTTTTGTTTGCTATACCGCACGTTTTCATGTGTGTTTCTTTCTCTCCTTCTCTTCTGCATGCTGCCTGGGGACTGGCTTCCTTGTGGTCAGCACCAATGGGCAGCGCCCAGGTGACCCCGGGGACTCCACTCTGCCTCCTCACCACAGGTGATCACCAGAGCCCTGGGCGGGTGGGAGGGGAGTGAGAGTGACCCACGCTCAGCAGGTCCTCCAGGCCAGGTGCACCATAGAGGAACTGGCAGCCCCTCCACTCCACCCACGCACCCATCCCTCCAGCCATTCGCCCACTCATCCCTCGGTCCACCCATCAGTCCATCCATCCACCTGTTCTTCCACCCACCCATCCATTCACCCACTCACCCCTCCATCTCTCCAGCCCTCCATCCATCCAGTCCATCTATCCATCCATCCAATCTACTGACACTTACAAAGTACCTACTATGTGCCAGGCACTGTTCTAGGCACCAAGGAATAAAACGATGACCAAAAGAAGACATGTTCCTATGCCTTTCTGGGAAGGGAAAGAGCCATTAGTCAAAAAACTACACAAGTAAGGGTACAACTCCAGCTGTGAGTGGCGCTACACAGGAGAGGTGTGTGGTGTTCAAAACAAACAAACATACTAGGGAGGTAACGGAGTGCTTCCCAGGCAAGTTGCAGCTGCGCTGCGGTCTAAGGTTAGAAAATTTGACCTAGCATGTCTGCCTATGTTTAGGAAATGATTAGACCTGTCTCTGACCCCAGGTCTACCATTTGTCCTAGACGAGTCCTTTAAATGTGATGATTCCCACTTCTCTCATCCGTTGTAGGAATAATAATACCTAACTCTTTACGAAGTGCTTACACATTCTGCACATGCAGAGTCTCCTGGAGTTGTATTCTGAGATGAAACAAGACAATGGATGTGCAAAAATGGCGGGGTGGGAGCGCCCAGCCTAGAATAGGTATTTGTTTGAAGGAACTACCCGGCCCTTCCCTTGAACACGTAGTTTGATCTCATTTCACATAAACATCTGCCACTCTTCAAGGTTGGAATGCGGAACCCGTCTGAGACCGATGCCCGTTGTGACCCTTGTAACAAACAGCCCCTGCTGACCTAGAATCTCCCCTGCAGAGATTCTGTTGACTGTTGCCTCTCTCAAAGTTGTTGCTCAGACAGTGGCTTCCTCCGTACTGGTCCCTACCTGGTCTGTTTCTCATGGTGGGAAAGGGGGTGCAGCAGGCAGGGGTGACACGAGTCCAGCCAATTAGTACCTTCACTGTCCACTTCTGTCCACCCCCTTTCCCAGGCTCAGAAACATTGCTGTTAGTGGGTGTCTTAGGTGGGGTTCCCTAGACACAGAGTCTGAGATGGGGATTCTTGCACAAATTATGCACTGAGGAGCATTCTCAGGAGAAAAAAGTAAGGGGGTCAGGATGGGGGAGGGGAGAAGCTGGGGGATGGGGAGCCCTGAGTCAGCCGAGCCCACAAGGGCCTCTGGAGGGTGAATTGTATTGCAGATTTGCTTCCACCTTGAGGCAAGGGGACGGGCATGAGTCCTAACAAGTACACAAACCAGTGTCAGCAGCCACTGACTGAGGGCTGCCATGGGAGTGCACAGCCTCCTGGGGAGGTGACACCCCTTGGTCTGATGGCACTTCTGCAGGGACAGAGGGGGTCTGTGAGCTGTTTGCAGCCAGCACAGCAGCTGGAGATTAGATGCAGCAGCCCAGGCAGGGAGATCTGGTCACTGCCCCAGCAGTGTTCACTGCAGCCACGTCGTGTCCCTGCATCGACTCCCATAGCCCAGCGTGTCACTACCGACACCCCAGGAATGTCATCTTAACCCCTTTCGAGTTCTGTGACCTTAAGCAAGTTGCATAGCCTTATTTCACCTGCACTTAATTGTCACACTTGCTCCAGAGTCGTATTAAAGGTCACATTAGGTACTCGGAGTTGAAGGTTACCAGCTTACTCTCAAAGAGTCAAAGAGAAAGAAAAAAAGATTGCATTAGGTGACCCTCAGGAGTGCCCTACTCAGGAGCAGCATATAGTAGGCCTTCACCAAATGCCAGTCCCCTGGCCTGTGCTATCACGGGCCCACCAGCATCACCCTCACCCTGAGGGAAGCAGGAGTTTCAGGTGGGTGCATGGGGACAGTGACAGGAAAGTGACTCTCACCCCTGGGCTCACACTGCATTTACAGAGAAAACCGGGCCGCTCCAGCGTGTGTGAGCTGCTCCGTCTTGCTAGGTCATTGTTCTCTGGACTCTATTCAAGTCGAGCAGTCTGATAATGTTTTCTTTAAATAGAGCCAATCCCATATCAGGCACATTTGTTCTCACCTCTTGCCTGCCGAGGCGTCTGAATGTTTCTCGTCTGACAGGTTTATTTCACTGGGTTCCATTTATTTCCCCGCGCTCCTCGGCGTTGCTTGATGGGTGAGGTGCCCGCGAGTGTTTCTCTTGGAGCTGGCCGTCCCTCCAAAGTGTGTTTTGTTAACACTCATCCCCTGGTAGCAGTAATGGCTGATTTAAATTATAACTGCCCACATCTGAGGGATGGCGATATCAGACTGTAAACACAATCAGCACCAACCCGGAGAACCACGAGGGACTGGCTGGCATTTGGTGTGAGCTGAGGCTGAGTTCAACTCTCAGCTCTGCCACTTTCTGCCTGGTGATCCTGGGCAAGTTATTCCTCTTCTCTGAGCTTCACCCCCCTCCATCTGGAGAAGTGGGAGCAAAATACCCATAGTCATAGTTAATCATGAGAACAAAGTATGATAACAACTTTGACTTCTTAGCTCGCTCCAACTAGCTCTTCAGGCCTCTCTGACCTGCAGCGTTTCTAATGACATTTGGGGACAGATAATTCTTTGTGTGGGGCTGTCCTGTACATTGTAGGATGTTTAGCAGCCTTGTTGGCCTCTACCCATTAGATGCCAGTAGCACTTTTTCACCCGACTGTCACAACCAAGTAGATCTCCAGACATGTCCAAATGTTCCTTGAGGGACAAAAGCGCCCCCTGTTGAAAACCTCCAGAGCTGCACTGTTCAACAGAAATAGGATCTCAGCCATGAATATAGTTTTAAGTTTTTTAGAGTCACATTAGAAAAGTAAAAAGCAACAGGTGAAATTAACCTAAACATGGTTTATTTAACCCAATGTATACAAAACACTATCATTTTAATATATACTCAGTATTTCCAAATTGCTAATGAGACATTTTACATTCTTTTTTTGCACTAAGTCTTTGAAATCTGGTGTTAATTTTACACATACAGCATTTCTCAATTCAGACGCTAAATTTTAAACAGTTAAAATGAGACATAATCCTCAAAAGATCAACACTGTGTTTACAATTAAGCATACTTTACACTGCTTCCGTTTTAAATTTAAACTAAATAAACATTAACATTTAGTTCCTCAGTCACAGTAGCCACATTTCAAGTGTTCAGAAACCACGTGTGGCATTATGGACAGTTCAGATCCAAAGGCATAAAAAAAAGTCTTGACCATCTTTGTGTCTAGTTGCTGAATGGAAGCGAATATGCATGGAGTAGAGGCTCAGTAAATGTTCAGTTCCCTTCATTCCATTCCACCTGCCAAGCCTCCTGGAGACTGAATCTTCAGAGCCTTGAATGAGGCTCCACCAGGTCTGCAGGTCCATCCTCGCCGAACCCAAGGCCCAGCCCGGGCATCACAGGGGAGACCTCTCCCAGAACTCTGAGTGAGCAAGAATCGATGCTACAGACTCTAGATCGTGGCTTCTGCCTCTTTCATCTCCTTCTCAGACAAGAGCTGCTTTTCCACCCACTCTTTGGGGCGGGGGATAGATCACTTGTTAGTACAGAACACAGGGATTTGGTTTTTCTGCTTCGAAAACCAAGGGGCAAAGGCTAGGACAAAGAAAACATGTTTGTGGTGGATTTGGCTGGAATCTCAACAATCAATGCGTTCCTGCTGCTGGTTTTATTACCCTCGCTCAGTTTCATTGCACTAATCTGAATTCCGTGCTGCGTGTTTACTGGCTGTTCTCTCTGATCCCACTCATGTTCCCCTAATCCTTCCTATAGATTTCTTGCTCCCTCCTGTGCACCTCTCTCCTTTTCAGGCACTCCAATGCCTGCTGCAAGCTGTGTGTTCCAGAGGCAAGATCTGGACAAAACTGCCCCAGCGGGGCAGATCTTTACCTCTGCTCCCCCTTCCTGTCCCATTGGGTCAAGCAATGCTGTCACATGTTGGGGCATCAGTTGGGCCAGAGTTGGCTGGAAAGAATTGAATTAGGTTTCTGAGTAAGAGCCTTAGGGACTCCTTAGCCCTGGTACACCCTGCTGCCCTGTGCAGACAAACAAAGCCAGGACATGTTGTCCTTCCACAAACCTCCTGTTCCACTGAGTCTGTAACCAGGCAGGAGTCTACATGCCCCTTCCCACTGTTTTCCATTTGGCCCTGACTCCTATGAGCGTCTGACTTGACTCAATGAAATGGGAAGACCTCCCTCCCATTTGCAGCCCGTTCCCAGGCTGCTTGGATCATGACCCAGCTGAACCTGGTATTGTGGGTGGAGTTGTGTCTCCCAGACGAGATATGTTGCATGTCTAACCCCTAGTTCCTGTGAATGCGATCTTATTAAAAAGAGGGTCTTTGCAGATGTAATTAGTGACGATGAAGCCATGAGGGTGGGCTTTAATCTAATATGGCCAGTGTCCTTATCAGAAGGGAAAAACATCACATAAAGACACAGACACACAAGGAGAACACTATGAGGTGACAGAGGCAGAGATTGGAATGAGCCATCAAGGAATGCCAAGGATACACCTGCAGCTAGGCAGAGGCGTGGAAGGCTTCCGCCCCGTCTCAGAGGGTGCCCTGCTGACACCTTGATTTCAAACCTTGAGTCTCCAAATTCAGTTGTTTTGGGCCACCCAGTTTGTGACCATTTGTTGCAATAGCCTAAGAAACTAATACACTTGGAAATGCAGCCGTCTTGAGCACTGGGCAATGGACGGCGTCCACTCTCAAGAGCTGTTCCTCGACAAACCTCCCGGAGGCTGAGGCCAAGGGCTGCCATCTCATGGATCTCTTCGGCCCACCTGTCTCCCTGTGGGGCTTCCATGGCTGTATTCTGCGTTTGGCTCTGCACTGGTTTCCACTCTGTGGC